AAAAAAAAAAAAAAATATATATATATATATATGGAGAGAGAGAGAGAGAGAGAGAGAGAGACAGAGACAGAGAGAAGAACAATTCACAAATAACTAACTAGGCAGTGGTGGGAGGTCATTCAGTTGACCAGTATTTAAAATATATCTGCTATGTGGAAATATATTATTAGACATATAAAATATTTGAAGACACAGCTTTATTATCAAGGAATTCTTAGTCTAGCTGGAAAATTAATGTCCATAGGCAAGAGAAAAATAAAAACAAATCAATCTACACTTTGCACCTTACATAAAAATTAACTCAAAATTAGTCCTACACGTAAATATGAAACATTTTATAGAAGACCTAAGTCTTCTAGGAGAAAATGATTCTGGACACTCAGGCAGAGTTTTTAGATCCAAATAAAAAACATAATTTAAGAAGAAAAACTACATGAACTGTACTTTATCAAAGTTGAGCACAGATAATGAGATAATAAGGCAAAGGCTGGAGAAAATGTTTGCAAATAATATATCTGACAAACGACTTGATCCGGAGACCATTCCCAACACAGTGAGTAGCAGACCATCACTTCAATTTTTAAAAATAGGTGAAGAAAATCTAAGCATACACTTGACCAAAGAAGATGGCAAATTAGGACGAGAAAAGATGTATACTTACTAATGAAATACAATTACCATAGTGAGATACCATGACACACCTAAAAAATAGAGAAATCTGACCCCAGATGCTGTCAAGAATGTGTAGAAACTAGATCGCTCATATGTTGCTGGCAGGAATGTAAATTACTACTACCACTTTGCAAATCTAGTGTAGTGAGTCTCATAAAATTAAACCTATACCTACCATTTGACCCAGATCCGAATGGGGAGGCAACCTATGGTACATCCAGACAATAAAATAAAACTCAGCAATTATGGGAGACTTCTGATTGACATAAAAACACGGATGAAATGTAGTTGCATCTAAGTGAAAGGAGTCAGATTCAAAGGCTCCTACACCCACTTGTACCCAAAAACTCACATACCCATTTATACGACATTGTGGGAATAAGAAAACAGCAAGAGCAAAACAGAGCAGTGGCTGCCAGAGGTGCAGGAGGTGTGAGGCTGACCCTGAAGGAGGTGCACAGAGGGTTTGGGGTGATAACTGTTTTGTTTGAAACTGTGATGATGAATATGCTTAGTGTGCATTTTTCAAAACTCATAAAACTACAAACACAAAGAGTAAGTTTTAACATTTTTTAAAAATCAGCATTTTGGGAGAACCCAAGATGGAATACAGACTGTGGCAAATTTATCTGACTGTATTACAAATGAATTAATCACCTCACTGAAGATCGTGGGAAAGTTGACCTATGTAACTTTGTAAAACAGCGTTTGTGCTGGAAACTGCAGGATTGGATTTAAAAAACAAAAAACAAAAAACAAAAAAACAAACAAAAAAAACTACTCAGTGTACTTTAGCTAGTACAAAGCTTCTCACAGAGATTGAACAGTAATTCTTGAATCACTTTGTATGCATAACAAAAAAGTATCATGTTGATTATATGTGCCAGATTTCTCACAGAGGAAGGAGTTGCATGACAGAGGGGCTGGAATGAGCCTTGAGGTGCAGAACCTGGGTCAGGACTATCAGTATGAACAGTTGCTGAAAATCAACAAAAGAGGAGGTCAGAGCAGCACATATATGGGCTCAAGGGCGCTTTCACCAGCAGACTGGCGGGGCGACCCTCCTGTAGCAATGGGCACATCTAAGCCCAGGCTTCAGATCCTCTAATAAAAGTATGTGAGGTTCCACGGCAAGGCTGTCTGGGGCATTGGGGCGATGAAGCCACAGGATGAGTTTGGGATCAGTGGTTTTCCTCCTGCCGTGGCTGTGGGGGTCTAGGGCAGCGGCTGCCTCCACCCCAACCAGGTCCTCAAAGTGCCCTTCCATGAGGTCAGAACGCGGGAGCAAGAGTTACCTCACGCCCACTGACCTCATCTCTTTGCACCAAGCCCCACCTCTTAAAAGGCTCCACACCTCCAGCAGTAGGACCGAGCCTCCGTCACAGCACACACCCAGGGACTCTCAAGCTGCGTCCCAAGTATGAGACTGAAGTATCTTGTGGTGACAGGAACTAAGCAGGTGGTCACAGAAAACAATGGGAATATACTGAAAGGGGATAGGCGCCTACTTGAAACTGAAGTGGAACTCTTTCAAAGGTGGAAAAATGTTACCAACAAAATAAGTAACAGTAGCACTGCATTAAAGTGCGAAGACGAAGGCAGGAATCATTGCACCCAGGGAACAGGGGAGTGCAGAAAAAGGAAACTAATATATGTTAGCTACAGTGATACACAATAATTTACAGAGTATACTACTGGTACATAAAGTATAGGCAGATTAACCGCAGAGGCCAAAAATAAAAAAATTTTAAAGAACTAGAATATAATAAATGATAAACATGACATTTCAAATCACTGGAGGCGAGGAAAAGATTATTCTATAAATAATGCAGTGATGGACAGATCATTAATCATTTCAAAAAATACAGTGAAGTCCTACTTCCCATCATGTGCCAAATACATCTTTATTGCTCTGTTTATTCTTTTTTGGGGAGGCAGTAGTGGGATTGAATCTCATACTTGTGTGTGCTAGGCAAGTCCTCTACCACTGAACTATACCCTAGGCTTCAAATGTTTAAATATAAACATGAAATAACAGAATTAGAAAACTGGCTGATGATTTAGCTCAGTGGCACTGTGCCTGCCTTGCAAGAGTGAGGTTTTGAGTTCGAACCCCTGTGCTGAAAGAATGAAAGAAAGAAAACAGTAGGATGTTTTTATGGTACTTTCTGCATAGAAAAAATATCACCATAAACCTCAGCCAAATCGCTCATTGGCATGATTTTTTAAAATTCATGTTAAAAATTACAGGTTTAAATTTTTTAATCTGAAAGAACACCTACAAATTAATGAGAAAGACTTTTTATCTGAGAAGATTCAATAGAAACTACAGTCTACATGCCAGAGATGTTAACTGCATCATTATCTATAGAAACAGTACCTGTGGAGAAGCAGCATGTGAAACAGCATTTCCATGGTTAGCACATATATACGAAGGGCAAGGAAGGAGGGAGGAACAGACAGACTGGGGCTGTGACAACTACACGCAGTGTGTGATCCTGGGAATACAAAACAGGCATTAGTGAAACGGCCAAGAAAATACAAATAAAAACCATCATTTCATTCACGCTGTTCCACCAAGGTTAATTCTTTAGTTTGATAATTACATTATGGTTAGACAAAGCATGTGAAGAGTATACAGGAACTCTGAATTACGTCTGCAACTTCAAAATTATAATAAAAACTTTTAGAAAATCAAATGGTAAAATTTCTTCATGACAGAGAAATGAAAAGCATCCATGTTCAGATCCAGGAAATCTTAAGAGAAAAAAAGAACATAGGGAGAGATTGATGAAATGATTAGCTCTTGAAACTGAAAAGCGTCACTAAATTTTTAAAAAGATCAGCACAGAACGATACGTATCTAACTTTACTGTAGTAAAGCGGGTAACTCCAAATGATAGATGACTGGACAGAAGTAACAAGTTTACCCAAAGGAAGACAAAGCAGAGTAGCATCAGACTTCTCCCTGGGAGTACAGAGAGCTGGAAGGCATAGGAAGAAATCTACAGACAACTGATGAAAACGGGGGAGCAGAGTATCTGAGCAAGAGCCAAAGCTGTCTATCCTGTCTACAAACATGTAACACTGCAAGACACTGGATCTTACTCAGCAGGAAACTCTCACAAATGGACCGTGCAAGAATGAGAACTTAGCAGTCCTTATTTGCTCGTTTCATCTTAATAAAGTGCAAACTTTAAGTATGAGATTTCGAGGGGCACGACTGCATTCCAGCCAGTTCTTAAGAGACAACAGTTTTAATAGGTAATGGTAGTTACAAAGCATAGTGAACAAGACCAGATTTCTGGGGCTTGCAGAGAAGAAACAAGTAGGAGATACTGAATGAAGCTGGAATGAGAACCCTTCAAACTCAGCAAACCGTGGTCATGTGACCAAAGAACAAAGCAACATTAGGGAGCATCCAGGGGTCTTAATATTTTAAAATTTTTGTAAAAGCTACTGAGAGAAAAGAATACAATCTTTAGTCAGCCTAGTGATTGTCATGTAATTTCAGATTGTGTACACATAGGTGAAAAAATCATTTAAAAAATCAGGAAAAATATCTTTGTTACACTGTGATACAAGATACTGCTTATTTGCTTTAGGTATCATAAAATTTTGCAATGCATAACTGCAAAATTTCAAGCCTTGGGCTGTTTTCTTAATTTTTGTCTTTTATGCACTGTATGACTGATAATTCACACATCATCACATAATCCCAAATTAACATTTCTTGATCCCAACACAGAATTTATGATCTCCTAATAACCTACATCTGACACGTTTTTGGGTAAAAGTATCAGATGCTCAAATTCAAGAAAAAATTGCTGAGGAAGACAACGCATTGTGCTTTACTTTTAAAATACTTACTTATATGTTTTTCAATATTTTCCACCATATTTTGAATTTTTATTGAAAACTCCAATTTGTTTGGATCTATAGAGATTTGTAGGGAATTCTGAATATCTAAGAGAGAAAACAAAGTATATTTTAGGAGAATGTAACAACTAACAAAATACAATTACTTATAAGGCAAAAATGTTTCATACTTATCGTACATGTTTATATCCTCAAACTCAGATGTGATTTCTGTGTCTATTTGAATCAATTGAAAAGAGAAAATAAAAATTAATATTTCTAACAGCTAAATGACAAAGTCATATATGTCAATGCTTTTCAAAAACCTAGAATAGGGCCCAGGATTTAGCTCAGTGGTGCTGCCACCTGTCTCACAGGTGCAAGGTCCCTAGTTCGATCCCTGGTACCAATAAAAAAAAAAAAAAAACTCTCTGCTAAACTACAAGGGTCACCTGAAAAGTAGTATTTACGGAGTATACCCTAGCCCCAGATTCCAAGAAAGAAGATCTGATATGGATTCCAATTTTTGTTTTGTTTTGTTTTTGCAGAACCTCTTATAGTACGCCAGACAAGTGCTGTACTGCTGAGCCACACAGGCTGCTCGAGAGAGAGAGCATTTGCAGCAAACATTCCAGATGGGGTTACTTGACAAAGAGGGCCTTTGGGCCCCTTTCAGTGAGAAAGTGTATGGGTACCGAGATGAACATTAAGAATGGTGTTATTACTCACTTGTGCCAAAAATGATCTATAAGTTCACTGCTCATTTTTAGCATTATCTGAAACTTTATAAGAATAATGATCTATATATTGAAAATATACAAATGATTACAGTTTTCTCTCACTCCTTGTCTTCTAGCTGTTAAGCTATTTCCCTTCATTTCTAGGGGTCTCACTTGTCATACCTGAAAGGATATCTTCAAGGTTGAAAGTAAAATTTTTTGGTTTCTTGGGATTAGGGAACAGTTGTTCACTTAAGCAACTTTTTTCTTGACTGCTTTTTGACATCTCATCTTCATATGTCATACATTTTTTAGGGTCCTGCTCAGGCTCATAAAAACTCTCTTCAGAATTTTCTGAGGAATCACTCTCAGCGGGAATTTGCAAGCGTAGATTTACTTCAAATATCGGTGCATATGATTTTCTCAAATTCTTCCCCAATTTAATTTTATTTAAAATCTAATTTAACAGATGTTAGTGTGTAAATGACAATGTATAACAGAACTCTTAAGAACAGTAAACTTTTGATGGTAAATTATACCTATATTTGCATGTCAAAATCAGTAAATTATATGCAAAATAAATGTCAGAAATTTGAGGTAGATGTGACTATAGCTTTTTACAATGGAAGTGTGGGTGTGTTGGGCAAGACATTGTATTTATTATAAATCACATTTTAATTCCAAACGTTATTATTCATCTATATCAACAATCTATATTATTCAGAGAACATCTTACCTCATTAATATCAGTGTGCATTTTTACTTCTGACTTTTGAACAGAAACAGCATGCGTGCTTGAGTTATTAATGAGTTCTTCACAATCATTTATCATATTTTCATTGGGAAAAAAGTCATCCTTGAATGTTCTAGATTAAGAAATAGGAAGAAAATAATCTTAGAATCATATTAATCTTAAGATATGGTATGGTACTCCTATACTTCAACAACAATAGAAACAAAAACCCAGTTGAGAAATAGACAAGGGACTGGACTGGACATTTCTCCAACGAAGATGTACAAACAGTTAATAAGCACAAGACAAGATGTTTAACATTACTAACAGTAATGTAATTACAGTAATTACAGTAGAGGAAAATAAATTAAAGCCACAATGAAATATTGTTTTGCATCCACTAGAATGACTATCATTAAAAATAAAGAAAAGAAAATAATAAGTTGGCAAAGATTAGAAGCCTGGTACATTCCTGATTCAAAGTTATAAAGTTAGAAGTGGAATTACCATGTGACCCAGCAACTGTGTGTCTAGGTGTATAACCCAAAGAACTGAAAGCAGGAACCCAACCAAACACTTACAAACCAGTGTTTACAACAGCATTATTCATAATAGCCAAGGGTGAAAATAATCTAAAGATGAATAGGCAAATATAACATGCCAATTATCTATAAATAGAATATTATTCAATCTTAAACAGGAATGAAATTATGATAATGCATCAAAGTCGGTGAAGTTTGAAGATACCATGCTAAGTGAAATAAGCCAGACACAAAAAAGACAACTATTTTGTGATTCAACTTATATGAGCTAAATGGAACAGATAAATTCAGATACAGAAAGTATAATACAATGGCTGGAAGTGGAGAATGCTATGGAGTTATCGTTAATGGTTTAGAGCTTCAGTTTAGGAAAAATGTTCCTGAAATGGATGGCAGTGATGATTGCATGACCCTGTGAAAGTAATTATTTCACTTAAGAGTATGGCCTCAATATGCACCCATGTAGCTATCAATGACTCTAGTTTCTCATTCTTTATAGATGAGTAGTATTTCATTTTATTAAAAACCCATATCTTCTTTATCCATTCTCCAGTTGATGGGCAATTGGGCTGTTTCCAAGTTGTAGCTATTACAAACTGTGCTGCTAAAAACATGGGTGTGCATATATCGATGTGGTATGATTCTTTTAATTCTTTTGGAAAGATACCCAGCAGAAGGATATCTGGGTCAAATGGGACCTCTGATCCTAGATTTTTGAGTTATCCCCATATTGATTTGCACAATGGTTGCACAAAGTCTGCACTCCCACCAAGAGTGGAGAAGGGTTCCTTTCTCCCCCATAACCCTGCCAGCATGTTACTGGTTCATTTCTTGGTAGCAGCCATTCTCTCTGGGGTGAGGTGGAATCTTAGTGTTGTTTTCATTTGCATCTCTCAACTGACCAGTGATGTTGAACCAATTTTTATATATTTATTTGCTGTTTTTACTTGTTTGTCTGAGAAGCGTCTGTTCATTTCAGATGCCCATTTTTGAATCAGGTAAATAGTCACATCTTATTTAAGCAGAATGAGTAAAAGCAGAAAGTCACAGCACTGTGTTAATTGGGGAGATAACAGAAAAGTAGAGCATTTTATGAAAAGCATAGGCATACTGCTCTAATCACATGGCTAAGAAAATGGAGAAACCATAAACAAACTAAAAAAGATAACTTGTTTAAAATATAGAGGTTGAGGGGGACTGTTGGGAATTAAGAGACAAATCATTCTATGGCCAGACCTTCCTAACATGCTTAGTCTCATCAAAAGACAAAAATCACCAAAAATGGAAAAATAGAGAAAGGGAAACAGAAAAAAAAAACTAATGATAAAGTAAAATAAACAAAAACTACAAAAGAAATGGAAGGCATAATAGTATATTAGTTATTTGATGAAATGTAAACAGCTATGAATTGCAAATAGATATGATTTCCCTAACAGGAGACAGAAACTATCAAGTTCACTTAAAAATCAAAATCAAATCATGTTTCACAAGATATATCCATCAGGATTGGCAGTTTTTTCATATGTCAGACTTCTGTAACATGAGTGGAATGCATCATGGAGAGGCTGTTTTCTGATTGAGGCTGTCTGGGGTTCTATATGTCTCACGTACCTGTGTATTAAATTCTTTCCCCATACTCAGAAAATTTACTAATGTTACTCTGTAAACAGGTATTTATGCCATTTCTCCTGCCTTCTAAGTTTTCCCTGATTCCAAATAATTTTAGTTGTGCTTCATCTAGCAGCTGTTGGACCCATCTTTCATGTTCTATTCTTGTTCGTAAGTCCTCACTCATTAACTCTCCACTAGCAACAGCCCTGTCTTCTGTTCTTACAGTGGTCACTTCTCTTGCCCATACTTCTGATAGAAGTTTTAATGTCCTGAGACTCCATGTGGTACCTTTTTATGGATTCTAATTCTTTTCTGTTCTGTTCATTTATGATTTATACTGTTCTGTTTTGTTCACTTAGCTTTTTGTGTTTTATGTGGACACACTAATTGTTTTGTTTATTGGCCTACTATCTTAATTGTTCTCTGTGAGTTTGACAAGCACCTATTGACCTGTTTTGCCATCTCCTCTGTTATCCTTCTGAATAATTCAACTGTGCGTCTTTTGTTAACTTTTGATAACTTTGGGGGAGTGGGGAGGCATTTTGTTGCCTTGCCGTCTCATGTTTCTGTGTGTGTGCGTGTGCGATAAGGTTTGTGGATTATAGTTGAAAGTTTTGTTGCTAGTATGAAGACCTCTTTGGTTAACATCTACTTTTCAACATTGCCCTCTGGGAACAGCTAACTACTGACCTTTGCTTTTGTCTCTGGCTCCAACCACCTCTGCTTATTTGGGAGGAGATGTTGCAATACCCACAACCCAGTTTTCCAGGAATAGGCCACAGTATTATTAATGACACCAAGGCAATCCAGATATTAGCATCCCATGAAAACCGATTAACAGCAACAATGCTGTCACCTTGGCTAAAGTAATAATATCAACAACGATAGTAGCATCAAAAAACCCTAAGAACCAGTAATGCGCCAGCCTTAACCACATAAAAGAGATCTATAACTATACTGTAAACATTAAGACTAGTGAAATATTGACCTACAATAAATAGCTACTAAATAAAACTTTACCCCCACTAACAATAGAACAGTATTCAACAGTAATAGCATAGTGATAACCACTTACCAGTCCAATTATTTAAATACAGGATGACCAAAACCTGGATATTTCTATTGATTTTTATAAGATAATATAACATGAAATATAAAAATAGTTTAATCAGATTTATTCAATAGTTTTTCTATGTATGGTATATATTAAAACATTACATACACAATGCAACATTACCATCTGGACAACTTTAGTCACTTTGTAAATTCTTTTTGCATTATTGTCTTTTTTGAACAACACACTTTACACTGTCATGTTGGTGTTTTTTGCTGTGGGTGGTATAATGTCTACCCACTAAATGTAATGGTGAAGATGTCAATGATGACATCTGGCTGGTTTTTTACTATCCCATATTTTTCAATTACTTGCTCTATTAGAACTAATCTAAATTGTAAATTACTTTTTGAACCCCTTGTGTTGTGGTTTGGATCTAGATGTTCCTCCAAAGCCTCACGTGGTCATAGGCTTGAGCTAGTATGTGTGAAGCTGGAACTGATTCTTGATGCAATGCTAGGCTCAAGGGTACCAGGATTAAGGGTGTGTGCTGCCCATCCTAAGCAGTTCAAATACGATAAAAGGGGCTGCCTTGGTGGTGTCACGCTGTTTCCGCTCTGCCAGGCCTGTTTGTTACCCTGCCTTGGAGTCAGCTGATTATGGACTGAAACCTCTATGACCTGGGAGCCAAATAAATCCCTTCCCCCCTAACTTTGGGTATTGAGTATTTTGTCTCAGCAATGAGACAGCAAGGTAACCAACACACCTTGTTTTGAATGTATAACAAATGAGCTCCATATTGTTTGGCACAAGAGGTGAATAAATATTTTTTCCTTGCTTTTTTATTATAGATAGGTTATTAGATATTGTTCAATTCTGTCAATACTATCCATAGAATTATTATAATCATTGACCACTATTGGAATTTCTTCTCCTTTCAAGTGGTATCATTTCTGTACTATGGATGGTTGACAGTAAAAAAGACATCAATTTTGTCTTTCCATTTCATAACACAGACTTTTCCTCTCTGATATGCTGATATCTCTCCCTTTTTCAGTTTTTTCTTTTGCAGATCCTTTGGCACTTTCTTCCTATTCAGTCTCAGTGTGCCAAATGTGTCCATTTTGTACTGCAAAAGAATATCACTGACTTGTGGAGAAGTATTAAAGTTACATCTAACATACTTATGAGTTTTTATAGACTGTAGCACAAAATTATAGGTTATTTTTCACAAATAAAATAAAAATGGATTAGTAAAAGAAAATAACCAGAACATATTATTAGATTCCACTAGAAACAAACATCAAAGGTGAATACAATGTTCTAAATAAAATAGTATGGAAAATAGTCAAAATAAACCAGACATATGGGTGTATCTCAGGCAAGCAAAAACTGACTGGCTGAAGTCTCCTCTTTTTACAGAAGAGGCTGGTGATGATGCTGGAGTCAAGTGGGAGCCAACTCTACTCCAGTTATTCCAAGAGTTGGATATGAATCTGAATTACTTGGAATAATTATTAAAACATTGTGGGTCCTACGCTGGGATTTGTTACTTAACAGGATTATAGTGGGACACAAAAATTTACATTTCTATGAAGTTCCTGGGTGATGCTACTAGTCTATGGACCACACTTGGACAGTTACTTCTAAAAAGCAACATATGGAGATTTAGAGATGCTGAAGAATGAAGAAAAAAATGCACTGAACTTATCAGTTACCCTTACTGTGATTAGCTTGATTCATCTGTTGTAGTAATCATTTTCTATAAACACCATTTATATACATCATTCATTGTTTTAAAAGAACCTTAGAAGCTCACCTGTGTATACACCACTTTCCAATTTTAAACTGATTGGAGATTTGCAGGCTTTTGCCATATCACCAAAACAATAAACAGATCTTTAGGCATTTGTTTGTTAGGGTTAG